ACAGTTTACCCACAATGCTAAGCCAGTAGATACCACGGTAGTTTTTACAGTCCTGTTGTGACCCCTTTCCCTTATATATTGGGATTATAACGGCTTTGCACCAGTATTCCGGTACCCGCTTCAGTTCCCAACATAAATTAAACAAGGTGTACAGCAGGCCTGCAACCACACCCCCGCCAGCCCTTAGCATTTCGAGTGATACTTTATCATATCCGGCTGCCTTACCTGCTTTCATTATTTCAACTACACTTATCTCCCTACCTCTCTCAACTTCTTTCGGAATTTCTATTTCACTTAATTCAGACGACTCTTCACTCTTAAACACGCTTTCAAAGTATTCCTTCCGTCTCTTTAAATTCGATATTTCATCATTCAGCATGCAGCCATTCTCGTCTCGTATAGCATTAATTCTAGGTTGTTTTGAATTTCCCCTGGCAGTTCTTACGAGTTTCCAGAACATTTTAATATTTGCCAGGAAGTTACCAGATATCCTTCTATCATTCATATCCATCCTTTCTTGCTTTTTCCTTTCAACAACGTCTTTTAATCTCTTTTTTATACTTCTAAAGTCTGCCTTTCTTCTTTCAATCACATCATTCATACCGCCAGAATTACCAGCTTTGGTTGCTAGTAAATCTAGCCATGCTCTCTTTTTTGCTTCAACTTCCATTCGTACCTCATCATCCGACCACAACGTATTACTTTTCCTTTCATTCGTTCTCTTACTTACACCACATACTTCAGTGGTTACAGTCTACAGTCTTTATATACAGTCTTCAACTCTAAATCATTCATACATAATTCATTCAAACCACTTATATTTTCCCTCAGTCTACATTTATATTTCTCTTTCACACCTTCATCTTGTAACCTCTCTATTATTATACGCTCTAGAGTGGTAGACACAGATGTCCGATGCCGCCAACGCCTGAATAGACCTTTAATTCGGCATAAGACCAAGTAATGATCCGTCCCTACGTTGGACCCCCGGTAAACCGTTATGTCTGCCACTGCGCTCCTCATTATATAAATATATTTTATTAATTTAAATATAAATATATTTTATTTACTTTTTAGTGTGATACATAATTAAGCACTCTAGGTGGACACCGATATTGCACTTGACACACCTTGTAGGACATTGTTTGTGGCATAGGCTACACCTGGTCCTCTTTTCCTGCTTGGTGACATATGAGTATTCTTTGCCGTCGTATCTAGAGTCTGATGTTATTGAAGATGGGCAACTAGGACCTGGTTTTTCGCGTTGTTTATTACTATCGATAATATAATTTGCAATACGACGTCGAAAGTTTAGCAAATCGATACTCGTATTCCCTCCATTATACCTGTACAGCAGCCATGTATTTTATACAGACATGTCAATACAATGGAGAATCAGAGGCATATACCACTTTTTTACCCGAATGCTAGTTCGCAATAACGATATATTCTGACCCTAAAAAAAAAACCTACTCCACCCATATTTTGTTTGTATTGTTGAATGAGATAAGGTTAAGATACAGATATTTTCTTTTTTTGTTGCTGAGAATAGCGTTCAGTTTTGTGGACAGGATTAACATCAACTGAATTAGAGCATACTGACACCATACAATTGTCATTCTACTTGCAAATTATAATATCGTCAGGTACGCGATAATCATAAAATCTTCTTTCTTCGGTCTTTGCTTCCTTGTTACCCAATATAAGGCACTTTTCAGATTTATTTTCTCTAATAGTACCAGTTACACGAAATTGCCTTTTAGTGAGTTCATGAACCAAAGGAAAACCGGTAAAAAAGTAGTCTATGCAGAGATGGTATTTTTTTTTCATAGCCTTATGTTGCTAGTTGATCTGCATAAGACAAAAACCACACTTGCACCAAGACCGAGCTGGGAATATTGGGCATTCGTAAATGTAGAAGTACCTCGGTATTGCTCAAAGCACGCAATGATGTTACACCAACGCATAATTTGTATCCATATCTTATAGGCCTGCCTCTAATAAACTATTTGCAGCCGTGATCATCAAAATATGATACCATAGCCTCATCGATACTATGATTCTCCTTTTGTGGACAGTGCTCAAGAAACTTCGCAGCTAAAACTTTTATTGAAGGACGAACTTTTACAAATTTATAAGATACATCTAAGTTTAGATTATCAGCAACATGAATGTTAGAGTAAATTCGTGTAAATCTATCTCGAGACAAGGCTGAAGAAATCAAACTATTTCTTCAATCAGATGCATTTTCCCAATACATTCTTCTTCTGTTCACTTGGCAATAGCCACTGACTAACAAAATCCCTACTGAACTCCCATGAAACTTAGCTTCTTGAAGACATTGTAAATTGTATTTTTTTCGTTTCTGTCAAATAATTATAATATAAACTCAAGATAACTTGCACAAAATTTGTATTTTATATTGTTGATAGAAAACTAATACTCTGAGTTATCCGTCACAACTAACCAAAAATAGTTAATAATTTGTGGGTACATCAAAATATTTTTACAAACTTACCGTACCACATAGGTACGGAAGGCCTATATGGGTTACACCCAGATTGTAATCGTAGGGAAAAACATTCGTCAGTATAATGCAAAGACAAATGTATAAATTATTCTACTATGCTATTTTTATCATGTTAATTTGTTTGATGTTTGGAATTATGTAAATTTTTTCCCAGAATCGTATTTCTTACAATAACGCCGAGCGCTACATCGCATGGCGCTCAGAAATAATTATTTTCTTTATCTGTGCAGCTTCCTATACCTTTTATATATCAAATTAAGCCTTTTTTAAAAGGAAATTCAATATGTAAGTTTATTTTTTAGTTTTTAATTTGTAATTTTTTTAATACGTATATAATTCTTTACATGGTAGAGTCATGCTGCAGCTATATTGTGGTTGCAGCACGAATGAGTCGGCTCGACAGGAGACCCTTTTTACTGCAAAAGAGACATTCCATCTCAGTCCTCAGAGGTAACAACGCATCTAAATTAGGATTCTTAATTGAGGATAAATGTAGATGCCTGTGGGCCACAGCATCCACTTAACTTCAGATATATAGTGTACTCGTTTATCACCCTTATTCTATAAAAAATGTATAGTAATTGTGGTTACAAATATGGATAAATTGAGTTTGTTTTTACATTACATTAAGCAGAAGAACAGTTTGAACATTTTCCCCATCATGCTTTTACCACATGAAGACTTGCATGTGAATGGCATGATACCTAAAGTAATAAGAAATAATATAGAATACCGATTTAAACGATTTGTATTTATAATTTAACAATAAACAAAAATGACGACGTCACGACTTCATCTCGACGTTGAGGAAAGACTTATGAAAGTTTTTTTATAAGATTTTTACGAAGACGCCTTACTTTACGCCTGTTTCCTTTTCGAATGAAAACAAAGATTTCGACATGTAAGTAACTATCGGGATATGAACTGAATTGAAGAGACATAAAGAAATTGAAGACTGAAATTATTTAACTATTTTATAGACTTTCTAAAGGCCTGAATATTTATTCTCGAAAATAAAAATTAACTAAAGGGATACAATTTGCGATTTTGATGATATTTTATTAATTTCAATAAATTCAGTTAATTAAAAATGATTCGTATTAATTTTAATGTAACTGTTCAGATGACATTGCAATTATGAAATTACTTAGTCCATTTAAAAGGGGGAAGAAACTAACTTTTAATAAAAAATAAAAAGCTTCAAAACAATAAAACAATAAAAAAGTTACACATTCTTTTTCTAAGCAACAAATTCAGAAGGTTAAATCATTTTATTTTTTTAGTAGCTTCAAGTCGGTTTTTACTTTTTATTAAAAGTTGATTATTAAGTATTTACTTACAAAATTATAAGTATTTACTTACAAAATTCTTATTTAAAACAACGTTATACTTTGCGGTCACTTTGCTCACTAAGTTACGGTCAATTCTCCGTAACTCCTTAAATCGACTGCGAGCGGGCTAGAAAACTAGTTCTCTGTTTTAAAAGCCGCGAACGTTGTTTTCGACAATCTAACACTTATTTCGTTTAATGTTAGACTAAGAAAATGCTGTCATTGTTTATGTGTGTACTATGTCAACGCAATTAGGAGTTTATTTGAGATAAATAATAACTTTCGAAATACAACTGCATGGCATATTTACCGTGTCGTCTACCCGCCCGCGCCCGCCCTCGCATCATCTACAGCTGTGACACAGTTTTTGTTCTGAATTGCCAGTCTATTAGTATACATAGATGTCTGGTTTAATTACTTATTTTCTTAATTTACTTTTTTAGTATAAGATAAAAGACAGCAAAAGTGAATATGTAGATAGAGCCTTACCAGATTTTGGCCAATAATAATTTCATATTTTGATTAAATTTAGTAATAGTAAATCAATGATATTATGTAAGGATAACTTTAACAGGTTTTTGTACACAATGCAACTATATTATGGTTATTGTACGAGTGAGACGGCTTGACCGGGGAAGTGTAACGCTCTCACAGAATACCAACGAGAAAATATTGCTGCTGTGTATCACATGGGGAGTGAAGAGAACTGGAGACTCTTATAACTTGCATTCTACCTTAGTCATTAGGGATGACAACGCATCTACATTATAATTCTTAATCGAGGATAGATGTCGGTGACTATGGACAGCTTCTAATTCAGGTGGAACATCAGGTGGACTACGTGCTCGTTTGTTACTCTTATTCTTTAAAAAAAGTCGTCTCTATTTCATAGAAGTAACATAAGCATTAAGCATCTAGCCTATGTTACTTGTAAACTAATTTTACGTAAACAAATAAAAATTGTGCCGTTGAAGCCCAGGATCTACAGCTCCTGCAAAGATATGCATGAACAGGAATTGTAAATAAATGCATTTATAATTCAAGTTAGTTCTAGTCATATATTTTATAGAAGAAAAATTTTATTAAAATTATCGATATAGAAAATTATCACTACATTTTTATAACAAAGGTCAAATATTTTATTTATGTAATTTTTTAATATCATTTAAAACCATCAAGTTACGCAAGAAGTTATAATTTTTTATAGCTTTTGCAGTTATCACAGAATCTTCTAAATTTAACATGTTAGAACCGTCTATGGGCATAAATATGTTTTTTCTGGATATACCCACAGTAGGAGAACGAACCTTGCAACAAACTCTATAATTACGGTTGCATCCAGGAACCATTGCATCAAATATCATTTGAGGACAGTGTCTTATTTCGACACAAATGCCGCCTCTCGCCCAGCAAGTTGAACGCATTGTTCCTAAAATAATAATTATCCAATACAGAAATGTAATATAAGACCTCTTTTCTAAATAAATTATAATATGATTACTATTTACTTACCACGTTCTGGTTTACCTCCTTTACCACCTGCAAATACATCGACAAAAGAGTTTAAAATTGGATATTTTGTCGAAGAAGAAATATCCGCGCCCATTAAAAATAAAACATTATTAATACTATAAAAAATGAGAATAGTTTTAAGAAACTGCATCAGTTTAATGCAATATTTAAGTTAGTAATTGAGCGTAAAATCGGATTTTTCTTCGAGTATGGAAGTTATTGAAAGTAAAATATTTTATGGTAAAATTTATGACCGCTGCAAGAGATTAACTGTTATATAACGTAAATTACCACTCAATTTATTTTCGAGCTCATAAGGATTATTATTTTAAATATACTATTCTATTTGCATAAATATACGTAGATAATATTGTTTAATATTATAAAATAACGTGGTTTCTCATATATACAAAATATTATTACGGTGTCGTCAGCATACATAGTTATATTGCCGGCGTTTCATTCAATTTTACTCATGTCATTTACGTAAGTTAAAAATAATGTCGGTCTGAGAGTACTGCCCTGTGGGACACCGTATGTAAATCGCATGTCATTACTGGAATATCCATCCACTCTAACGCACTGCTTTCTGTCACATAAATAACTTTGAAACCATTGCAGTGCAGTACCTCTTATACCCAAGTTCTCCAACCTCCGCAAAAGAATCGATGTTGACAATGTGTCAAAGGCCTTTTGTAGGTCAATAAAAACACCTACACATCTGTCACCCTCATCTACGTACTTATTTACTTGTGAGGTCACGTTTAGTATACAGTCTTCCGTTGACTTACCGGTTCTAAAGCTAAATTGATTGGGAGATGTAACTCATTGGATTCTAGATAACCAATTAGCCTCTTGTTAACAATCTTTTCTACAATTTTGGATATGACACTTAATAAAGCTATAGGTCGGTAGTTACAAACAAGGGTTTTATCACCTGCCTCATGAATAGGCGACACAGTGGCTTTCTTAAATATCTCAGGGAAAACTCCTGACGAGAAACTAAGATTACATACATGCGATATTGGCTCCGCTAGAATACTAAGAAACATTTTTAACATTCTCGTAGGAATTTCATCATGACATGCAGCATTATTATTCTTAAGATTCAATGTCACGCATCTTACTTCTACTGGGTCAGTTGGTAATAGTAGCATGGAGTTTTTAGGACTATTGTTATTAGTTGCTTCTCGTGTTAAATATGCCTGAGATAAAAACACTAAGAACCTATCCAAGTTACAATTTATACTGCGTATATTTACACATAGGATTGAAATTTTGGACCTAACTGAAAAAGGCAATCGCCTTTTTCAGTTAGGTCCAAATAACTATTACAATTGGTTGGATCATCAACGTAGGTACATTTGATATCACCCGAAGTGTCAATATCCTCAAATAATAATATATTATCCATGTAGAATAAAAGAAGTTTCACGGCCAAAATGATATGTGTCTTATAAAATATAAATCAAATAATATCGAATCTTAGAATGCAGTACTGATATACATCCTAGTTTTTGTTCATAGTTCATTTTTAAATACAAGATATATAAAAATATAAAATTAAAATGAAAATTAATATGTTCTGGGATTTTGTTGTAAAAGCGTATACATTGCTCCATAAATGAATTAATGATTCTGTGGAGTCTAGTAACTGGCATTACAAGCTTATGTTTGTTTCTAGTGTTTAAAGTATGCACATCCTTATTCTTATTAAAGCTATTTATGTTTTTATGCACATACATTACATTCTCATAAATATGTTGCGATGCCAAAGTTAATATGTTTATTTCTTTAAATTTTTCTCTGAGGGACTCTTTACAATTTTGGTTATAAATCGCCCGTACGACTCTCTTTTGCAAAACAAATATAGCTTCAATATCAGTCGCATTACCCCATAGCAAAATTCCATAAGACATTACGCTATGAAAGTAACTGAAATACCTAGCTGTCTCAACATTTGTGAGACTTCTAATCTTTCTTACATGCTGCAGAACTAAGTCTGCTAATTTAGATATATGAGGGCCCCATTGAAGTTTCGCGTCAATTGTAATACCAAGAAAAACAGTGGTATCCTCAAGACTCAACTCCTCCCCATTTAAGAGCAAATCGGTTTTCGAATGTTTAACATTAGATATTGTAAATTTAATACATTTTGTCTTATTGCCGTTTAAGGCCTTAACAGTCGTTGAAATGCCTAAATCTTGGATATTTAAGTAAAATAATCTCAATAACTGTTAATTTAATTAACAAAAAAAAAATACAGGGTAACAGAAGAGGATTTGGTAAATGTTTTTAATTTAACAAAATTGTATTTTTGTCAACCCCTTATTAGAAAAAAAATCCCCAAAGAGTACCTATCTTTGTCATATTTTGCAAAATTTCTCCAAAACGGCACAAACTTTTTAAATAGTTCCTACACTAAAAAAAAAGGTCTTAAAAATATTAATACTTTTAATTGAGAGTTTTATTTTTATTACCCGTTTTATAAGAGAATATATCATTTTTCCCTGAAATTGAATATATTTACGTGAGCGCGCATGCTCCGTCGCCATGTAAGCTCTGTCACAGTCCGTTTTCGGACATCATCGAGGGTGGACCGCACGTCGGTGTTAGAGCGACTTCGTTCAAATATATATTAGTTTTTTAAAAGTTTATACTCAATTATAAATATTTTTATGACTAGAAATACTTAATTTAGTTAATATCTGTACACTGGTAACTGTAAATATTATTTTCTAAATAAATGAATTTTTAAAGTGCCCAAAGAAGAAAAAATTTTCGAGGCGACGTTGATTAGTGAAATTGAAAAATGCATTTTTATATAATTTAGATGTGGAACGACGAACATGGTCTTGTTACTTAGATTTCGATAGTTTTCATACCTATGTAATTTTATTATTGCATATTTTTATTAATTAGTTGATACTGAATTTTATAATTATGTATTACAATAAAACGCTGTTTTTATGAGTATGACTTTATAAAATATTATTGGGGAAAGAAATAAAGATAAAGACATTTAGGTACACTGTTATCAAATTAAATCAAACAATTTAAATAAATAAAAGAATGGTGCTTACCTAAGTATAAATAACTATATAAAGACATTCTTGGGTTTATGGTTTTCTTTTTTATGTTAGACACTATCATCTAAAAAATGTAAAAATTTTAAATTGGAGAGGGGTTTCTCTACGTGATAAAGTTAGAAATGAAGATATTTGCATTAGAACTAGAGTAACTGACATAGCCTAACGGAATATTACAGTGAAATGGCAATGGGCTGGCTATATAACTTGGAAAACAGATAAAAAATAGGAAGAAAGGTCCTCGAGTGGCAACCTCGTACAGGTAAGCGAATTAGTACTCAACCTTTATTCCTCTTCACGTATTCACATACACACACATACACACACACACACACACACACACACACACACACACACACACACACACACACACACACACACACACACACACACACACACACACACGAATAGGTCGCAAATAATACTATTAGGCGAGAGTGAATAGGTTTTTGTTAAGTCAATGCAATTCACCATCTTAGACTACATAACCACTTACCGATGGGATTGTAGTTGCTTTACTACTTGGTGGGTAAAAATAGTAAAAAAAAATTTACCCTGTGAAAGTTTGCATTTAGCTATAATTTTTCTAACCAACCATAAAAATATGATGAGAATATAAGTATAAAGGAAAGAAATATAAGTATAAAGGTTGCCTCACACGGGACTGTAATAATATAATATTATATCTTCCATTATCTACGCATGAAAACTTTTAAAATCTCTGTATCCCGAGGTATGTTCATATTAAGAGGCTGAATAGAGCCACATTGATATGCATGGGGACCGTTTTGTAATTTCACGTCATTATCGAAAAAAATTTTGCCATTGCCGTGTAGTGGCGGTCAAGAATATCCACTACCCCATATCCTCCCGTGGGTGTCGTAAAAGGCGACAAAGGGAAACAGGCAGGAGATGGGCAGCAGCATCTTCCTGATAATAGCCAAATTACAATAAAAAAACTGCGGTTGCCAACCCGCTCGCCAAGCGTGGCAACTATGGCAAATACCCCCTATGAATGACAGTAACAAAAAAACGGCCCCCAGTCCCCGGCGGCCCCGCTATTCCTGGCTACGGTGGCGACCATGGTAACGGCGGGGCAGGGGGTGCTAAGAATCTCCGGTGGAGGTTCGGTTGCCACCTTAGACGACTCGACCTGGCAACGTACAACGCACGCACCCTGAGGACTGACGAGAAGATCGTGGAGCTGGAAGAAGAGATAGACAAGTTGCGCTGGCATATTATAGGATTATCCGAAGTCCGAAGAGAGGGGGAGGACACGGTAATCCTCGAATCCGGCAACTTGCTCTATCACCGGGAGGGCGACCATCTGTCCCAAGGAGGTGTCGGATTTATCGTCCACAAGTCTCTCGTTAACAACGTTGTAAAGATCGGGAGTGTGTCGACGAGGGTTGCGTACCTTATACTCAGAATCACCAAACGGTATTCGCTGAAGGTCATACAGGTTTACGCACCAACCTCGGCACTCCCCGATGAGGAGGTGGAGGAAATGTATGAGGATATCTCTAGAGCCATGCATTCCTCCAAAACCCAATATACGGTGTTAATGGGAGACTTCAATGCAAAACTAGGCACAAGAGAGACCGGTGAGCTGAAAGTAGGGAAATTTGGAATAGGGCGACGTAACCCAAGGGGCCAGCAGCTGGCCGACTTCATGGAGAAAGAGGGACTCTTTATGATGAACTCTTTCTTCCAGAAGCGGCCCCACAGGAAGTGGACCTGGTCGAGCCCCGACGGTTCCTCAAAAAATGAGATTGACTTCATTATGACGACCAGACGACAACTGTTCAGTGATGTCTCCGTGATCGCGAGGGTGAAAACTGGTAGCGATCACCGAATGGTTAGAGGCACACTGAACCTAAACGTTAAGTTGGAGAGGTCTCGTCTAATGAAGTCAACGCTCCGTCCCCCTCGTGCTCTGTTCCAAAGTCCCGAAACCTTTCAGCTCGAGTTACAAAACCGTTTTCAGTGCCTGGAAGACTGCAAT